GCCTTCCGTGGACTACAACTCCCAGGGTGCTGCGGGAGAGGCCGCCGCAACCTCCCACCCGGCCGCCAGCCTCGCCTCCCGCCCCTCCCCCGCCCCTCCCGGCCGGATCGGCGTGCGCCTGCGCACAGAAGGTCGGAGGAGTCTTACCCTAATGTAAGATGGTGGCCCGTCTGGCTGTGGAACCCACCGAAAGCTGAGAGTCTCTCTCTCAGCCGTAAAGGTCGGACTCGTTGAAGCAGTCAGACCCGGTTCTGAAGAGTTTTTTCCCCGACACTCTTTCAGTGCTCTCTTGTGAGGACGCGGCAGCGCGTGGAGTCGGCTAAGGGAAAAGCGAGGCAAAGCAGGCGGGTGAGTCTGTGCGGGGCTGGGCTTAGGGGAAACCCAGGGCTGACCGGCTACGAGAGAGCGGAGGCTTCGCTGGGACTGTGCAGGCCGCACCCCCTCTCTCCCCACCCCCCGCCTCATTTTCACCCTCCTCCTCTGTGGTCTTCCTCCTCCTCCTCTTCCTCCCTGTCCCCTCTACGCCACAGCAGTTACCAACAGGAAAAGGGAGCGGGGCAGAAGCAGCGCGGCGGCGAGCACCGACTCTCCTTGGAGAATTTCTTCAATTGGGGAGCCGAGGCGGCTTCTCGTCTCCAGCCTTTCCCCCTACATTTTTATAGGGGCAGGATTCCTAGGTCGCAGTCCTCGTTTCCCCAGCTCCTTTCCCTTCTCTGACGTCCTTTCCCACTGGACCCCGTCTCAAAAGACCAAAGCCATCACTTCCACTCTGACCCGTGTTGCTGCTGCTCGTTAATCTCAGTGCTCACTGCCCACTCGTCCTGCTGCTTGTTTTTTGCTCCACTGCTACCACTCTGGAGTTAGCCTTTGCCCCTTCTCTGGTGCTTGTAATCAGCCCCCAGTCTGTCTACCACATTAGGGCTTCTTTCCATTTGCAGTCTTTCCTTTAACCATATCTGTCATCTTAAAGCTGCCCCTTAAGTATCTAGATTATGCTGCTGCTCCTTCTAACCCACCTGTTTCTCAGCCTTCTTGAGAATTGTCCATTCCTCTACAGATCCTTTCAGCATACACTTCCAGAAAAAGGGATGCCCCGTGTTGGCTCTTGAAAAGTAAAGGAAGTTGAGAAGTGAATAAAGTGAGGTAGGATACTATTAAACGCGATAAGTAGAGATCTCTTATCCAGGCTTCTCAGGAGAGGAACGGTTTCGTTCTGTTTTCAGTAATCTTTCTGTCGCTTATTCACTCTGTTGGGATGTGGCTTTTGTTTTCTTCTTCTTCTTCTTCTTCTTGGTTTTTCTTTCTTTTTTTTTTTTCCATTTTGGACCGATTTCTGCATGCTACTAAGCGTTCTTTGAATTGCCTCACTTAAGAACACTTAATGTGGGCTCTGATTATACCAGTAAATATTAGCTTAAGCCTTTCAAAATAAGATAAATCTGTCACACACACAAAATTCATCTGTGAACTCCACAAGCAGATATAAGTGATATTTTGATTATATGAGAGCTGTATGTGGGTTAAAGATGTCCTCTGTATTGAGAATTGATTATTGGCTGAGTTATATTGATGTTCACCTTAATCGATGGCATATTTTGTTTATGGTTTAATGGAAATTTCCTCTCCAGCTAATATCAGATTTACTTAGTATTTTTGGTTTGGGGAAGTTCTCTCTTTTGACGTTTCTAGGATGGTAGTTACCTGAATAAAATGTCTTCTCTTGAAAATTCATTAGGTATGTATGCAAAAGAGAAATCGATTTTTTTTTTTTTTTTGTAAACCTAAATCCCTCAAATTTTCCCCACAGAAAAGAGAGGGCAGGGAAAAGAAATGACTAAGCTGTGCACATACATGCATTTGGTGGTACTCACTGTCATCATTATCTACAGTCAAAAAGTGGAAAATTATGAGCAAGAGGTGGCTTATGATTTCCTTGTTTTGGTGAAAGCAAACTTGACATGTACTGATTGATGGCATAATGAGAAGGACCAAACAGGATTACATAGATCAGATGCATACATCTCAAGTTTAAATAAACATAAATAAGACATTATGTTTTTTAAGATATATGTAAAAATGTTTAAAGTCATAGTAATGTCATGCAGCAATCTATCTCTTATTTGCAGAAGTAATAATACCTTAAGTGTAAATTCTAATATACAAGACGCCGTTAGTCACTTTTGTACATTACTGGATTATTGTATTTTTTACAAAATTTACCTATAAAACTTGAAAAAATCTTACATTTGGCTTTATATTTCCTTGGTTGTGATAAATGGTCTGTTTTACCATATGTAAACTAAGGTTAGAAAAGCTGTTTATAAAACTTTTTTCTTTCAGCCACTTAAGCCACAATTTGAGGAAATTAAATAAATCCCTGCTCTTAGAATTGGAAGCAATTTATATAGCAAACCTTGTCCTAAATTATGTCATAGGGTTTTTAAAAAATTATTACTTATGTTTACTTTCCCAATAGGAGCATATTTAATACAATTGATCTTCAATTCTAAGTAAAAAAAATATATATATGTGTGTGTATATATATACATATTTGATAATAAGCTGGTGGAGAAGCTTTCTACTTTGAACAATCCTAACACAGGTTTAGACAATCCTTGGCAGTCATACTTAGCTGAATTGTAAGCAGTGTGTTCTAGGAGAGGATTGATTGACTGGCAGAAGGTGGTAAATGATTTTAATGCATCTTTTCTTTTGTAAAGTTATTTTGCCTCACTAAATATTTTCTCAAGTAATTTTCTCACTCCATGCTTTTTGCCTGCAATTATCAAATTCTTACCTACAGCCCTCTGAAGCCAAAATGAATTTGCTTTGGCATCTTTACTTAAGCACGTTTAAGAAGGTATCTAAAGTTCTTTGACATTTTGATAGGAAATAGGGAGCTGAGATTTCTAAATATTTTTGTATGGTTTAAGTTTTTAGATGTAACATTATGAGCATCACAGCTTCATTCTTTCATGGTAACTTTTTGTAAGTTGGAATACTTTCTGTCAGGTCCAATAGCTGACAGATGAATAGATTATTTCTGTAAGAAGGTTATGAACATGAATTAAAGTTCGCTTATTCTACATTTGGTTTCAGAAAATTGCATAGAGACATCTTTAATTCTGTTTGGGATGAGACAGTTATAATCAAATGGCAAAATACAAGAAAATAAGATAGTTTTGTAGTGCCCTTTAGCTTCAATCTAAATGGGAGTACTAGTGATAAATTACAACTCATTACTTTGTAAAAGGAAGAGGGTGTTGCCTAAGGATGAATTCTTAGTATTGGGGGAGTTTTATTTTAAAAATGACTTTATGTGTTTTAAAAGAATGAAAAAATATCTTCTCAGTTTAAGCAGTTTGGTTTTAGAAGTCTTCCCTTTCTCCTCCCTACTCCTGGTTTTGAAATGAAGCTGCCCTCTACATTTTAATGATTTTTTTTTATGCAGTTGCAAATAATATGCAGTTGAATCTAAGTTCAGTGTTGCTGTTTTTATAGACCATTTAAGTGAAATAGAAAGCTTTAATTTGTGAGAACTTCCATCTCTGCTGAAAATTCAGTTAGGTAGCTCTCTGTCAGTATCTGTAATACTATCTTGACTTTTTGTGAAGGAAGTTACATTCAGCTCACCTGGTTCAGAAGAAAACAGTAGGGAAATAGGTTATAGAGATTTTTGCTGTTCTAGAAACAGTATAACTAGAATGTACTACGTACTTCTCTCAAAGGATTTCTTAATCTAAATGGAACTTGTAAATGGTTTTTATCCCACTGGAATAACATGTATTGGATTAAACTTGTTAACACATTTTGAGATTTTATGAATTTTGTTACCTCAAAGATATTTTTCTCTTTCATCAAAAGAAATTACATGCCACTAAAAAGAAGATGATTACTTTTATTAGCTATGAAAGCCAAACTTTAACAATAGTACAACTACAAGGCAATTTCTGTATGAGTTTATTTTTCTTCTAAGGAGCTTCTTTATTATTAGATTCTTTATATAGGAGGGTTGTCCTGTTTTAAACTTTAATTGCATTGAGTAGTGGGCAGATGATGTGTTGCTAGTAGGATAAGCCTTACTATTAGTATAGGTGTATATCTCAGATATTTGTTCAAAAATAAATTTTTTTTTAGTTATGGTTAAAAATCTCATCTCTTAGGTATTGTGGAGCAGAATTTGAAATGAAAATAATCAGCTTGTGCATGTGCCTAAAACCAGTTTAGAAAAAAAAAAGTCAAGGCAAAAAAGCAGTGTTATTAGAAGAAGAAAATGCTTTCACTTAAAAAACAAACAAAAAAAGTAGGTGTTGTATTACTGCTTTTGGAAGGCATTAGTGAATGATGTAGGGAAAATTGTGAATTTTGATAGACTGAAATTTCATAGGAGTGGAACATTCCCTAACAGCAACAAACAAATACATTGTCATTAAGCATGAATTTTCTTAAGCATGTTTTTTAGTCCTTGAAATAGGAAGTGCTAATTTTTCTGATTACTTAAGAGCCTATTAATTTATTCCTTGTTAGGGCATCAGATGTCTTCAGATTGTGAAGTTCCTGAGATAATATCGATTGATTTGGGTTATTGAACATTGGTTGTAGCAACTTTTTCTCCTTTTTTTCCTTCTAATTTTCTGCCTCTCATATTTTGCTTATGATTTTTTCCAATGTTTTTTATTTTCAGCAATTATTTGGGTGGACCTTTTTGTGACTGCTGTAATTGAATGAAAATTTGTTATATAGGCCGGCCCGGTGGCGCACTGGATAGTGCGCCGCTTGGGAAGCGCGGTGGTGCTCCCGTCCGAGGGTTCGGATCCCACATACAGACCGGCTCCCGCTCACTGGCTGAGCGAGGCGCGGGAGCAACGCCGAGGTTTGCAATCCCGTTGCCGGTCCCCGGTCCGGTACGGGGGCAACACTGAGGGTTGCGATCCGTTGCCGGACACGGAAAAAAGACCAATGTTTTTTATTTTCAGCAATTATTTGGGTGGACCTTTTTGTGACTGCTGTAATTGAATGAAAATTTGTTATATAAACTGTATTGCTTTTTTGTTGGTAAGATTGATTTTTTTGGATGGCGATCCCCTCCATTTTGTTTATAATTTTCTTCTAAATCACTTTTATTAATTCTTAGATGAAAATTAGGTGCTGCAAATTCTCTGTCAAATTAAATCTTTCCAGAAACTTTATTTGTTGGATAAAGAAAGTGCTATAATGTATTTTTGTTTTGTCATTTAAAATGAAGGAAAGACATGGTTAGTACTTTTTTAAGAAGAAAGTTTTTGTGAAAAATTTTAAACAAGTACAAAAGTAGATATGAACCATCCTGTATCTGTCACTCAGCTTCA